AAAAACTTGAGGATTGAACAAATCCAACGTGGATAAGTTCAACCATGCGTTGAACATGGTGTGAACAAGCTCAATCCTCGTGCATAGGAAATTATAAAGTTAATCACATTTATTGTATAAACAATAATAGCCTTCTAATGCAAAAAATTGTAGTAGAACAACAATGCAAAAGTGAGAGCCACTAGTGAACTGACAATCAAATGCCCTTGGTTGAGAATGAAAAGGGTGGAATCTATTGTGGCATTGATAAATGGAACACTATGTGTCATTCTGAGTTTCATCTGTATGACAACCTCCTTGATATCGCAATTCGTACATGAGAAAACTGAATGGGAAAAAGAAAGAATAACCGCAATGAACGCGATTGGGGATGTCAAGGATTAAAAAAAAAAAAAAAAACTATTCCACTTTGTTATTTTTTTCATAGTATAGTATTCTCGCCAACATAATATTTTTCCTCCCTCTTCATATGATGTTTATTTTCGAAGAAAGACAAATGGATTGGTGGGACGTGTGACACCCACGCCAATACGCATCACGAGTGTATAGACTTAGGAATAAGCTACATCTCGTTTTCTACCCACCTAACCAACCAATCTCGGAAACAAGATATTTTGATCCCTCCTATCTATATCGACTGTGGAAACAAAAAAAAAGTACAAACATTTTTAGTTGGACAAATGTGGGTGCTCCTCGTAGTGGCCCGTACGTTTCCTAAAATCGTGGCTTGTTAATGGGCACAACTTTAGGAAATACTGGTGGTTTAACTTCGTTGTATCATCATCATTGGAGTTGAGAGCAAGCCAAAACAACGGCTCTTACAAGACCCTTGCTTTACAAGCTACCACAACACAACATTCTACATGTATGTGGCCCGAAGCGTGGACTCGGTGCATCTGAACGGATCCGACTTTTGGAGTGATAAAAAACTATTACCAGCTCCTGATACATTCAAAATGTTATGCCATGGATAGATGGCAAAGGAGGAATCGGACGGAAAACCCAGCAGTACTTTTTCCAGCCATTTTCCTACGTCGTGGCAGTGCTTACGCCGTGTCTGGCGGGATGTACCAGCCATTTTCATATGACGCGGCAATGCTTACATATATGGGAAGAACATGTCCTGCATACACAGCGGTTTGCCACATTTTTGTTGCAATCCACCAGGCACATACATCCTGCTAGACACGGTGCAAGGACGCCCCCCATGCGCGCAAGATTTTCCAAGCACAAGGCTCTCCATCGGTTTGGAAAGAGTACTGGCTGTTTCCTTTCCGTTTTTATGTACTACGGAAACAACTCCGCTGCCATACTTCATCCTGGCACAGAGAAAAAAAATGCAAAAGTCCAGGGTGTTCGGATTTTCTTATCTCCGAAGGTAAGAAAATTCGGGAACACCTTCGACTTTCGCTTTTTCCGATATGCTGGCACAAAGTGTGGTGTCAGAGTTGTTTCCTTCATACATGAAAATGGAGGGGAAACAGTTGGGTGTCTTGCCAAACTGAGGAAGAGCCGCGTGCTTGGAAATTTTGCACGTATGTTTCTGAGGAAAGCTTACTAGTCAGATTACACACACTGCGTACCTTATCTATTGGTTCGTTGGTTGAAATCCAACGATTGAAGATATGATTGGTGATAAGATTGATTGAAGATACGATTGGTGATAAGATCGATTGAAAGCCTGCAGATGGCCTTCACCACACATGCTATTTACCAGCAAAAACCAAACCCCGCCCTGCCAAAGCGACCCAAAAAATAAAACAAAAGCAGCACAGCACCTTTGCCACCCATTTTGTCTGCAGCTTCGCATCCGAGTCTCGCCCCCTGTGCCCAGCGGCGTTTTTTTTTTATATCTTTAGTCTGCAGCTTTTTGTTTGGCCCGCCCTTGGTCCGCGCTCTTTTCCCAATACAAGGCGGCCGAGACTCGTATGGGAGCGTCACCCGAGACCTGCATTTCACCACTGCCCCCGACATCAAGAAAGTCCCAGAAAATGCATTTCGCCCTTATCGCGCAGTCCATGCCCAGGGTCGGAGGCAGGTCTGGTGACGCGTTGGAAGAAGACCCCGGGACTCGCAATCTGGGACAAATTGCCCTTCCCATTCATAAAGATGGACACTTTTTTCTTTTTTTTTGTTCTCCTCACCCTCCACTGTGCTTGTATGATTGTTGAAAAAGTTGGGGCATGAGTTTCTCATGATGTTAGTCCCCTGTGTCGGACGGAGAGACTAACATAGCGCAAATATAGAACTAAACACATGCCCAAGGCCGAAGGAAAAATCTTTAACTTCTGGAAAAATTTCTAATGTCGGACGGAGAGACTAACATAACGCAAATACAGAACTAAACACATGCCCAAGAAAACAAAAAGCGAAACGCATCCAAACGCATTTAGAATGTTGTGTGGCGCAGCGAGGCCTGTCGCAGCCTGATGACATCACCTCAAACACAACTCACCCTGGTAACGAATGTACACAACCGATCTTTTCAGTCCGGTGCATCCATGATGAGGGTGCGTTGTGTTCGAGTGAAGACACCGAAACAGGTCTCTCTCTCTCTCTCTCTCTCTCTCTCTCTCTCTCTCTCTCTCTCTCTCTCTCTCTCTCTCTCTCTCCCCCGTCCAATACATCTTCTCCCGAATACAACTCAGCATCATTATGGCTGTACTGGACCGGAAAGACCACTTGTTTACATTCATTACCAAGGGTGCATCGTGTTTGGGGCAAGAAGGTAGTAGCGCGCTCGCGACCGTCGTTCCCCCGAACACAACGCACCCTGATAACAAATGTACTCTCTCTCTCCCCCCCCTCCCCCCCTGAGCACAAAACGCCTGGTATATTCTGCAGGAACAGAGGGAAGAATCAGTGAATCACTCCATAGCACAAAAAAAAAAAAAAGAGGAAAATGAAAGAAAAACAAAAAATTCCTCACAGGAGTGGGAAAACATCTGTTTTGACAGGACAGTGGCGAGAAGAGGGTCGGAGCGGAGGTATGGGATTTTGCCATCAGCTCGTTAAAATAGGTTCAGGGGCAGTGGTGGTATGACAAAAGTAAACGGAAAAAGCACAGGAAACAACATCATGAATGACATGACCGCTGCGTAACATGACCCGTCAATAAATGTTTAACCACTGGGGCATTTCCCACAAATTCCTAGGCCTGACTTTTTCCGCCTAGAGCGTGTAATGCGACGCCCTTTGGGGTCAACGACCTGTCGAGCATATACGGCCTCGCCCGAAGGGTGAGGTGCTCGCAGCCGAGCACTCGGAAACGTACTGGTGGTTTTAACAACCCCACTCCAACAGCGTGGGGAAGGGTACCCCAACTACTTTTCCTTATGACAACACTAAATTTTAGGCTCCTGGAGACGCAACTTCTGGTTTGTTAACGTAGGTCCTGATGAAGTGGATGGTTTAATCAAACTTTTAAACTGCCAGTACACGGCCCCAGCCTTGCTGAAAAGGAACTCGTTGTCTATCCGGAACGGCTAGTACACGGCCCTCGTCGTCTATCCGGAACGGCTACTACACTGTCCTCGTCATCTATCCGGAACGGCTAGTACACGGCCCTCGTCGTCTATCCGGAACAGCTAGTGCACGGCCCTCGTCGTCTATCCGGAACGGCTAGTACACGGCCCACGTCGTCTATCCGGAACGGTTAGTACACGGCCCTTGTTGTCTATCCGGAAAAGTCGGCGTCGATCAAAGAAATCTGCGCCCAATGTCGCTTTTCAGCCTCTGACGCGGGCCCGTGGCCGATGTGAGGCGTGTACTGGTGGTTTAATGCCTATTGACAGATTGGTTAAGTGTTTCAGCACCCATCACGTTATTCACCGCAAAAGGCATTGCATTCACTGCACCCGTCATTTCGTTCGTCAATGTCTACCTCGCCGGGCCTCTTCTTTCTTAGGCTGAACGGCACAGACGGCATGTCTACCTCGCCGGGCCTCTTGTTTCTTAAGGCTGAACAGCACAGACGTATTAAAATGCTGGTTAACACGTAAACCCGTTCTGCACCCGTTATGTCATTCAGCAATGTGCCTCACAATGCTTTGTTGCATGCGCTGAATGTCACACACCATTTTAAGACGCGTCCAGTGTTCAGCCTCGGAAACAGGGAACAGTGAGGCAGGCATTAGGGAATGACATGACGCTTGTACATCGTTCGCAGGAATTGAGTGGTGAATGTGATGACGATGGGTGTAGTGAAACCCATAATGATCCAGCGGCCTAGCTCATTTGGTAAGGCACGCAAGTGGCATTCAGGAGGTCTTGAGTTCAATCCCCATTGGCCTCATGTACCTTCCTGGGCATGCTTGGCGCCCGCCACCTAGAGATATGCCGTTGGCTCCCCCGAGTGGCATTGAGCAGAGACTGCTGATGTTTATAGGGGGAGGGGACCGGAGGGGAGGCACAGTGACAGGCCCATCGAAGAAGCTCGGTCCTGATGCTACCGGCTGACCCCTGGCCGGTATCGCCCCCGCACATTCCCTCGTTGGAGGCTTGAGCACGGATGTGGCTGCTGCTACGGGGTTCCCCGTAGTACTATAATGACAATAAAAAGGGCCTGAAAGGTCGTCCTGTCCAGGTTCGACAGGTAATTCAATTGGTTGGGCTTAAGGAATTAGCCATTAAAAAAAAAAGAAAAAAAAAAAAGGGTGCTGAAACACTAAACCTGCCAGCAGTCATCAAGGCGTGCACCATTGAGCCTAAGAAGCAAAGGGACAGTGAGGCAGGCAGTGGTAAATGACATGACCGACGGGCATAACGCTTCACCTTAGACCGCCAGTACATGGCCCCAGCCAAGTTGAGAATCCGATTGAGCCTCTCCTAAAATTTTGGAGGCTCGGTACAGGGCGTCCGCGTCCGAAGGGCCAGTAGGAAAACAAAAATTGTCCCATGCCGGCCGTGAGGTGGCACTACCGCAGGCCCAGCCCTGAGCCAAAAACAAAAAAACACAAATCCGCCCGCCCCCCGGCGGCCCTTGTCCTGAGTTTCTTAACTTTTCGGAATGGCTCGCCCGAATTCTCCAGATGTACTGGTCCCACTGTCCCTATCAACCATCCTGCGAAACATCAGCCAAGGGAACCATCCTTCGAAACATCAGCCAAGGGAAGGGTGAAAAGAGAAAAAGGAAAAGATGGTGTTGTACCGTGTAGCATTCTGGGCCCTGTCCCGGAAAGAACAGATGATGATACTGAGTCGACCACAGACCATGGGTAATGAACGCAGAGGAGTAAAAAAGTCCAATCTTTAAATTTCTTTCCGCGTATCCGGGGAGCCAATATGCCAAAACCGCAATTTCTGGATCAAAGCGAGGAGGGGAAGAACAGCTGGTCTGTGTAGTACATACTTAATATGACCTAAGTGTGTTCTCCTAAGCCTTTGACATTATTGCTCGACACTCCTCATTCCTCGACATTTGTCAACACTTCTCAATCATCAACAGTCCTCGACACCCCTCCATTCTTCTGTACAGTCCACTACACATAAGACCTCCTAACAAGAAAAGAACACCGCCTCCTCTTTGGACGGGTCAGGCAGTCCTTTATGTGCCCCTAATCAGACAGTCAGGCAGTCCCTTACGTGTGGCACCTGCGCAAATGCGAGAAACCTGC